CTTGTTCTACCTCCTGTTTTTTGACTGGGTAATACTAATAATAAAACGGGTAACAAAACAGGCTTTCTATCCTCCTTAGAATGTGATTATAACATGTAGATTTGCCAGTTGTATATAAGGCTGTGTGGAATTCATTCATTTACTTAGTAAGTATACTAGGCATTGAGGATATAAAACCAAACACATGAGCAAAAAAGGAAAATAATAAACAACTACTATTATTAAATTGATTCTATATCATAGCAACCCTCCATTAGGTTTCTCAGGCTGTAAACCTTTCCAATAAAAACAGTCCATCTTTATTCAACACAGCTACTGGTAGGTAAACCAAGGACATAACTAACTTATTTCTATTAAGTTGGATTTGACTCATAGCTGACTCTCCAGCAAGTTTTCAGAGGCTGTAAATCGCACAAGGAATGATTGTTCATCTGCCTCCAGCGGAGTAGCTAGTGGGTTCAAACCACCTACCTTTGGGTTGGCAGTGCAGCTTTTTACCCACTAGCCCATCAGTGAAATAGCAATTAATTTACATTCCAGCTAAGGAGCCAAACAATAGATAAACTAAGTACCCAAGTAATAGATGTTTAAAATAGCATAGAGAGACACAAGCTGAAAGAGTAGATAAGACGTACAGAGTAGGAGGGACTTGGATTAGGGTACAAGGTATCATTTGAGCAGGAGCCTGAGGAGGTGAAGAAGGAAGCCATGTAGATATTTGAGGAGGGGCAGCAACATTCAAGGCAGAGGAAATAGTACATGTAAGGTTCTGATGTGGAACCTGACAGTCCCATTTACCCAAGAACGTGCCAGAAAAGCAGTTATACACTTAAGATAGAAAGCAAGAAATCTCAGGCTTGAATGTCCTTACAGATGCCAAAGACTTATCCTCCAGAGTTCTAGAGTTCTTTAGAAGGCTCATGTCACTGCTGCTGGCCTGTTTGGGCAACAAATCTCTAACAGTAATAATCTAGTCCTAGTTCTATCACTAGCACTCAAACCTCCAACATGGGACTGATTTATATCCTTGGCCTTCCGTGGGCCCCAGCCCGTAGTACAAAAAGCTATCATGAGGAATCAGACATCTACCTGTCCAGCAACACCCCCATTCAAATAACCATAGTGACTCGTGGCTCTCGGCCAGTTGAAGCGAGGGGCTGATGGAGTTAAGTATGAAGTTAAATCTCTTGCACATCAACATCTCCACTCAAATAACAGTGGTAACTGGTGGTTTTCAGTCAGTTAACCCAAGAGACTCACAGAGTCAAGACTGAAGTTCAATCTCGCTCATCAAGAGTTCACATGACAAAAAAAAAAAAAAGAGTTCACATGACACAATGTGAGTGCATGAGTAAATTCAGTCTAACATCTCAGTTGGGTAAATAATTGATCTGATGAGAAATTGTGGCTGGTTCACCAGAGTGAGCTTTGTGTGAAACAAAATTAATATCTGAAAGTCTGGATTTTTTAATCTGTGACTTCTAACTTCCCTCCAAAGTCTATGGGTGGTTTTTTTCTCTAGACTTTGCAACATGTTTGAGAGACAGCAAAGAGAGAAACTGATAATATAACTGATCAAATTAGAGGAAAGAACATTCTACTAAAAGAACATCCTACTAAAAATTTGAAAAGGGATTTATTTTCTGCTTATTTTACTAATAAGTTATTACCAGATGCATTGGCAAAATAAGCATACCTCCTCTGAAAAACAAGATTAAAGCACACATTTTGAAACTTGTCTTTGGATGTTCAGTAATTTTATCACTGACTACATAGTCCATAATGTGCATTTGCTGTTGTTCTTGTTGCCAGGTGCCATCAAATCGACCACAACTCATACAAACTCCTTGAACAACAGATCTAAACTTGGCCTATCCTGTGCCATGTTCAATTCAAAATATGTAAAACATGACAATAAAAACATAAAAAAAATAAAATAAAAGACATTACAATAAAAGCATGTCAGCGATATTGTTAATGGTAAGGTCCTTACCATGAAAGCAGAGAATGACCTTGTTTTCTTCATAAGTAACATAAAGGAGAGACATTACTCCAACCACCATTTTTAAATCTTCTTGGCTCATACTAATAGTGAAAATGGACTTCCTTATGTAACATTTCTACTTTAGTTCTGTTCATAGTGAGTAAGAAAACTCTCTAGTGTGATTCATCTTGAGTTAATCTCCTTTTCCAGTCATAAAATTAAGCCATGTATTATGAAAACTCAAATTTTTCCATTTTTACTTATTTATTATCTTTTGCCATTGCCCTTTCTAAAATTCTCCAACTCTGTCATTTTCAAGTACAATTTTGTAACTTGGATTGAGGATTCCTATGTGCCAAGAGACTGGCAATGTGACATGTGTGCCAATGTAAATTCAACAGCCTTTCCCCATCCAAGTATTTGTTGGGTTTGTTATTTATGGTCTAATTAAATTAAAGGAATGGAAGCTCACTTAAGAATCAAGAAGACTACAAAATCTTCTGTCAGAAATCATAAGGTTCTCACCCTTCCCATTTGCCCTTGTTTAAAAAAAAAAGTAATTTCTTTTATATACATAAAAATGAAAGTGGAAAAACCCTAAATTTTATTAAACATTAAAATATTCCAAACAACAGAGACATAATGGAATTTTAGACGTCTTCATATTTTATAGCATCTCATCTTTGAATAGAGCATTCTGATGGCCTAGTGGGTAAGGAGTTGTGCTGTCAATCAAAAAGCGGGCAGTTCAAATCCACCAGCTTCTCTGATGGAAAAAGATGGCCAATCTGTTATGATGCAGAGTCAGTTTCTAAAAACGTAGAGGAGGGTCAGCCATGAGTCAGTTCTGCCTCAATGACTTGTAACAATAAGAAAAATATCTGAGTTGTTGTTATTGTTGTTATGTGGTCTGAGTAGTGAGTTTAAATTTGTGTTAAAATATTCCTTCTCTTCTTAGATCGTTCCCTTTCTAATGCATAATTTACCTCTCTGAGAATAGTAATAGCTAATATTTCATGCCAGACACAGGGCTAAGTGTTAGAGACAGAGAAAAAACCAGACTTAGGTCATGTCCTCAAGTAGCTTATAGTATCAAAACTCTGTCATTGCTAAATGCTGTTGAGTCAGAACCAACCCATAGCTGAACTTCCAATGGATTTTATAGGCTGTAAATCACATGGGTGAGTTCCCTTCTTTCTTCTGTGGAGCAGGCGATGAATTCAAGCCACCTGCCTTTGGAGGAGCAAAATAACTCCCTACCAACGAGGACACCAGAGTTCCCTAATATAACAGATGTTTCCATGGTTTGTCAGCTGAAGAAATAGTCTCAGAGAAGTAGTGAATTGCCAGAGGCCATTCAACAGAAAAAAAAAGCAGCCCTGGGATTTGAACTAGCATCACCTTCCTCTAAAATCCTAGCCTCCTCTAACATCTGAATAGATGAAAGCACTGAGCAAATGAAATTGTGAAGGTAGCAGCAAGGTCTATTTTAAAGGTCCCCTGGTGTGCTCTAAATGTCCTAAAACCAGAGACCGCAAATGATCCATGGCCATTCCAGGATCAGGCCTTGGGAGAAGAATGTGTCTTTTGGGAGCTTTGATGCTATCCTATTAGAGGTGACACAAACCCAAAACACGTTCCCATGGCAACAAACCTTTCAGGTAAACAGACAGTTGATTGCCTGAAGCATTGAACCCTAAACTACATAAAGTTCCAGTAAAGGAGTTTTCATCAGGCTCCTTCTGCTTGCTGCCAACCACCCCCTCAGCATATGGAAAAAGTCTTCACTTTCTGTTCTGCCTCCTCTAGAAGCTTCCCGAAGCTCCTCCCCACACTGTAATAAATGCAGATAGCCCCTTTTAACCACTACCACTGCCCCAATTGGTGACAATTTTAGCATCCCGATTCCAATTTCTATTCAGATATTAAAGAGTCTAATTAGTCAAACTTGAAATATATAGAAGAGAAAGTTGTCTGCAGTATTTCACTGAAATGAACTACTAAGCAAATAATCCTTGATTTTTATTAAAAGAATTTTGGCGTACAGTGACTTTATTTCCTGATACTCACCCTTCCTTGTGTGTGGAGGGCTACTTTATTCTTTTTAAAGGATATTGTGGCAATCAAAGAGAATTTCCATCACAAAGCGAGAGGTGAACACTATTTGTTTGCCTAGCTTTGCTTTAAAGGGAGTCCACGGGCCAAAATGACTAAATATAGTCACTATTACTCCAAGATCATGGCTACATCTTTCTAAACGAAAAGGAATCAACTTAAATAGGAACTACGTGGCTCATTTTACAAGTGAGAGACCATATTTTAGTAGTTTAAAAGCATTTTCAATCTTGCCATCTCCCTACCATCCCCACTCTAACCTACGTTCACCCTGCACAGCTATTTAACCAATAGGATCTTTTTCCAAGAGTCTCTGAGTCGTCCAAACTGTTGGACCATTTTTCTGGATGGTTTGATTTGCTATCAACCAAAATGTTTCCAATTCAAATCTGCCCAGAGGCGCTTTTTGAAAGAAAGGCCCCTGAATAGACTTCTGAATGATCAGACACTGAAAATTCAATGGAGTACAGCTCTTCTCTAACCCATGTGAGGTCACGCCGAGTCTCCACAGCCACTGGGGAGGGGAAGGCCTAGCCTTTCTTTAGGATGGTTTTAGTCATTATCACACTTCTCTTGATTAAGACGTACATGTGAGTAAGAATGGGCAACAGAATTTACTCACTGTTCTCTACCATAATTTCTCAGTCAAGTCAATAAATAGAGGCTCAATTTAAATTTGGATCATGGCACTGAAAGATTTAACCTGCTGACATAATTTTCTTTAACTTCCCTTGAGAGTGCCAAAATTATCTACTCAGTTGCCCATGAAAATTGTCATTGGTGGCCTCGCAGGGGCCTGGGGTGGCCGGCTGAAGACAGAGGCAATCTTTTCCTATCCAGATCAGTGGTGTTGAGCAGATGAAGAGGCAGCAGCCGGCTCACGTCTGGATAGGTGCCTGTGTCAGGAGCGGTAGGCTGCGAAGTCTCTGGATGGGGCATAAGGCTGGTAGTGTTTACGGGTGGGCCCAGGCCTCCGCGGAGTGGTGTTCATATAGTCACTCTGGAGGATCCTGTTCTTGTTAGTCTTCGTCTACCAAAGAAAAGAAAAAGAAAAAGAAAGAAGTGTTACTTTGGAAAGAGGGTGATATATTGGGAATTGTCCCAAAATGAACAAAAGTGAAAATGAAAAGCCTATTTGGGGAGCAATTATTCAGAATATCAGTTAGCAGATGAAACTGAACATCATAATCCTTGGAGCACCCTGAACTTGGATAAGGACTAATCCAGCTGATTCTTCTAAATTGACTTTAAAAATCTGAATCAATGGAAATATTTTCAAGAAATGCACTCAGGGGAGCTCTGGTGGCCTAGTGGCAAGACGCTGCACTGCAATCCCAGAAGTATGCGGTTCAAATCCACCAGATGCTCTGCTGGAGAAGGAGAGGGCAATCTCCTCCTGTACCAGTCAGATCTGATTTGACGGTACATGCAAAAATAATACAATTAAATAAAGAGAGAGAGAGAGAGACAAAAAATAAATACACTCAGGTTGCTCCTAATATAGTCATTTGACCCAAATTCCTCAAATAATGCATCAACTATTGTCATATATAATTAATATATCCACCATTGATATAGAATCACCATCAAATTCTTCTTAATCATTTGCTTGACAAATTTGCTTTTCATAAATAAATGAAAAGGACGTTCAGTGACTCTAGAGCCGGAAATAATCCTAAATCTATAGGAGTGGAGTCTAAATGAACGGAGATTTCTTGTACAGCTAGCTGTATGCCTATTCCTTTTTGTATATGTATTTCCCTAAAGACAAAAGTATGTTCCTTAGAGATAAGGTGGGTCATGTTGTCAGGAGGGACTAGTCCTTGGAAAAGGCATGATGCTGGGAAAGGTAAAGGGTCAAAGAAAGAGAGGAAGACCTTCAACACAATGCATTGACCCCATGATGGTGATAACGGCAAGCATAGGGCAAGGTTCAGATTTGTGTGTCACAGTGGGCTCAAGGGCACCTAACAACAAATATGGCACCCATCCCTGTTCCTCAAGCTCAATTCTCTCAATACCAGGGCTAAAGAAAGTAAGGACAGTAATGAACATGAAGCAAAAATTAAACTCACCATGAGCATCTGCATAGTTTTAACTTGGGTGTTATGAGCATCCTTTCTGGAACAATGTGGTGGTAAAATTTACTTTTGGCAAAAGATCTATAAGTATTCTAAAAATAAAAAGTCATCCAGATTTCTGGATTCAGCATTCTTAATTGTGGGGGGGAAATCCTCTTTTCTGGCACATAAAGATCTTCTGTGCACGAGTAACCTTAATAAATTTCCATGCACTCCAACCTAAACCCTTCGTACATTCTCTGTCAAAGGAGTTAAGAAGAAAAATGTGCAAAAAAGAATTGACCTTTATGTTACAAAACTCAACTAGCATGTGTACAGTCCTCATCTTCCTAAGCCCTGTACTCTCCTTGTTGAAACACCTCATCCCTTTCACAGTCTATGACATGGTGTAACCTTGGTTTTCATCCTACCTCTTTGACTACTTCTCTGATTACTGTAAACCCATAATTTTTTAATGAGTCATCCTATATTTAGAGTTTCTCATAGCTTGGTTTCTAGGCCATCTTCTCTACTCACTCTGGACAATCTCATCTACATTCACAGCCTCAATAACTACTTGTTTACCTGAATTTGTGTCTTTGAACTCAACTTTGAAGGCAATTCAAACTCTACATGTCCAACACTAAATGCAAGATCTTCCCCCATTTCCATTTCCACCTTAATGAAAGTCACTGTCATCTATATTGTTCCTCAAGCCAGAAACACAAGCCTCATCCTTAGCAGTTCTAGTTCAGTTCTTTTTCCCGTTTTGCTAAACACAGGCGATGGGAGGGCTATGGCATGTGCATGAACAGGACACTATACAGAATCCACAGTGCCTGAATGCCTCTAGAATATTCACATATGTGTGCATGGAGAATACATTCAATACGGTCAGATATTATCTATTCTCCTCTTTACAATTCAATGTCTGCAGAAGATGTGGTTTCAAGGCCACCCTCACTTTCCTTCCATACTCCATTTGGTACCCATTTGTCCCACAGATATAGGAGCAAAATCCAGGACATAAATAAGGAAACTCATGTAAACACCCAATTTTCAAAAATCTACTGGATTTAAAGGCAGAAAGCTACCTGTAAGAGACTGCACACTCCCAAGGTAGGGAAGACTATGATTTTTAAAAAGCTCTTTTAGAATAGGAAAGAGAATTGGTTTTCAGCTCTGTTGAGTGAATGAGATAGTGAGTGAGTGAAGCAGGTGTTGGTTGTGACAGCCTGGCAGAAAGAATTCTTTATTTACTCGAATGTCAGTAGCAGGTCAAGGACTTAGATAGAATTTGCAGCTGCTCCCAGGAGCCTACTCAGCCTAGAACTACCAAATTAGCGTGTGACAGGCTCTCAGGAAGTTCTAGTAAACAGCTTACACCAAGGCACCCTGAAAACATGCCAAAATTTGGACTCCAGAAAAGTATACAGAGTTTACGTAGGGATCTCTAACGGCAAGACTACCCAGCTCATCAAGGAAAAGATTAATTTTAGCAAAAATGTTGTGATACTGTATAAAATAGAGATACATTTTGATTTCACACTCTTTTGGTCAGAAAGTACAAAAATTTATGGATCGTTTTTATTAAGAGCTTTTATAGGGAACTCTGGTGGTGTAGTCCATAGAGAGCTGTGTTAAACAAAAAAGGTGAAGGCTCTCAGTGAGTGAGGGAGACTTGATGTATGTAACAGTGAACTCAAGAACAGCAGAGATTGTGAGATTCGGGCAGTTTCCTTCTGTTGCATATATGGTTCCGATGAGTCAGAGTCAACTCGATGGCACTCTACAAAAACAATTTATCGGTGCTCGCTTCAGCAGCACATATACTAAAAACAATTTATCATGTAGCTTACTAGACTATGCTGTTATTGTTGTTATGTGCCATCAAGTTACCTGCGACTTATAGTGACCCTACGTACAATAGCTCCGAACCCTGCCCTATCCTGAGCTGGTCTCACTGACTCCAGAACACTTAATCCCATTGTCCCAGTTACTGTAGCAATCCTTCTCATCTGGGGTCTTCCTCTCCTGCCTTGTCCCTCCACCCTTGTAAGCATGAAGCCCTTCTCCAAGGACTGGTCATTCCTGGCCACATGCCCAAAGTATGTGAGATGGAGCTTCAAAATCCTAGCTGCCAAAGAGAAACTTGGTTTCACTTTCTCCAAGACAGGCCTACTTGTTCTTCTGGTGGTTTATGGTATGTTCAGTACTCTTCTGTAAGAAGCCATAAATGACAAGATATAGTGAGCACACTGGGACCTCTCAATTCATTGGAAAGTTTTCTCAAGACAGAATAAAGATGAATCTCACTAGGAATTAGCAGTATTGCCCCTCTAGAACATAGCCCATAGTTTTCAATTATTCTCATGTCTATGATATATCTGAGTTGAAAGAAAACAATTTAAACTCACTGAAAGTGAAAACTACATTCATTCCTTTGGGTGATTTGAGTCTAGCAAAATTGTCCCTCTTTACAGTAACTAGTGTTCTGATGCATATTTACAATAATTGTTAAATTATTAGTTAATCTCTAGCTACTGACAATTAAAGCCATTTGTAAAATTACTTTCTGTGAAGCTAGGAAATCACTCTAATCTTTCTTAGCCAAATTTCCTGGAAGGGTACTACTGCATCTAGTCTTTAACTTTTCCTAACCAGAAAATTGAAGAGCCATGTCCCACTGCTATATGTCACTTAAGAATTCTAAGTTCTCTTCTCAAAACATTGACAAATATCACAGAGGGTCAAAGTTGGCTGGTACTTTAAATGATGAAACAAATCTAGAAAGATAAAAGGCCTTTACTAACATAACATGAGAGGTCAACTTAAGTGGTATTTTACTGCATTGAAGGTCCCATCAGAGTTGAGCAATTTGTAGAAGGCAAGCCAGGCAAATTTCAAAGATGCATCAAGATCTGCCATCTCCATGATCATTAGTAATTTTTTTACCATTTTTTAATGGCAGAAACTTTTTTTATTAATATATTTTTTCCAATGTTATACTGAGGGGAGCTCTGGCAGCAAAGTGCATTAGGAGTTGGTCTGCTAACTCCAAAGGTCATGCTTCTCTGGTTGTTCAAATCTACCATCAGCTCTGTAGGAGGAGGGCAGTCTCCCCCTGTGTGATTCACAGCCTCAGAAACTGACTGAGGGGTTGGCTATAGGTCAATCCTGACTCCTTGACAATGACTTTGAGTTTTCATATTATATTGATAAATGCTACAATGAACAAGTAACCTGTATCTAATCTTGGTGCACTTGTACTTTTGTGTCTTGAGAATAAATTCTCACATTTTCTTTTTTCCCCACTTTATTTTTATCATCTGTTGGTGTATATACAAAATTATGTTTTGTGTACCATTCATGTACATTGTGTTTCATACATTTCTACATTCACATTGTGTTTTGAAGATTACTCATGTACACTGTGTTTTATGAAATTAATCATCATTGGTCTATGCCTACTGTTATTCCATCTTTTCAGGCCCCCACTGGATCTTTCCTAATTCCTCCATACCCTGTCTTTGCCCACCAGACCCTAATATCCTAGAGATTTCTTCTCTTCCTCATCCTCTGCCCCCGGCTCCTTTCCATATTCTCTTTTGGACTAAATGTGTCTCACTAGTAGTTTTTCTGTTTTACAATAATGGTCTTATTTAATATTTGTGATTAAAACTCCTATGAGACTGAGTTAGTTCACTTAGCATAATGTTTTCTAGACTCCCAAATAATACTATCTATTATTTTACAAAACTGTTGTTCCTGAGTGCTGCATAGTATTCCTTTGCTTGGATGTACCATAATTTCTCAATCTATTTGTTTGTTGATGGACATTTGGGCTGTTTCCATTGTCTTAAAAAAATCTGTTCTGAGGAAAAATTCCAAAACAATCTTTGACTAGTTGTTACCCCAGTAACAATAGCAAAATTCAACAGAGCAGCAAACAACAAGTGCTAGTGAGGTT